GAGTCTGCGTTTAGTTTACGGAGCAGCAGATAAAGAGCTCCTGTCTTTATTTAGCCTCGTTGGCTCTGCGTCTTCTTCTTTAGCTCAAATCCCTTCACTCCCAGATCACAGCAGCTAAAATTAGAGTTTCAACCTGACGTTTAACTCTAACTCTGGGCAGTTGTCTTTGTGCGATCACAGCCACTTCTTATTGTGTAAACTTACCTGAATGTGAGAGATGATGATGCTGAGCAGCTTCAAGCTGTGAAGGGAATTGAAGATGAGCGTGGAATAAATCCCACGTCGCTCAGGTTAGTTTCCTCCTTCAAGAACCGAGCCGAGGACACCTGCTCACGTACTTCTGATGCAGAGTCATGCTTTATGGTGGATGAGCTTTCCCTGTGGTGTGGGAGACTTTCTGCCTCTTGTGCACTCTGTTACACCTCCCTGCAGAAGATGGAGGGAGGGGGAGGAGACATGAAGGAGTCGTTTTCTACATACAAGAATCACCAGAGACAAAGAGCTGGTGACACGTCTGTGACAAACCATCGTTTTTCTGGACTTTGTGAGTCCGAACTTCACAGAACTCGCTTGAACTCGTTGAACAGGCGTCACTGCAGCAGTGTGACACGAACAGTGTGTGTTAGTGCAGCGGTGGCTTCAGTGTGTACTTACAGTTTGCTTATGAATCCCACTGTGACTGTGTAGTGCTGGTGTAATCTTCATACATTAAAATGTTTCGACATCATTTCCTGCAGGTAGAGAGTAGAGACACGTCACAATAAAGAGTTACTCTTTATTTTTATCCCTTCCAGTCTGAGTAAATCCTCTTACTGCGTGGACGGCTCAAGTAAAACATCAGACTCCACCTGCAGCAGGGAGGAGCAGCACCTCCTGCAGCTGCTCTAATCTGAGCTGGAGCGCGAGCTCGCCGTCTCTGCTGCTCGAGTGGATGTGACATCATCTGACTGAGGTCTCCATCAGTGAGGTAGTGGCTGTGGCTTCACATGAGGAGAAATGATGCAGCTGTCACTGGAAGACGTGCTCGAGTGTGTGTGTGTGTGTGTGTGTGTGTGTGTGTGCTTAGCTGCAGCCACTCAGATTAGGAGCTGTAAATGAGATTGGAGTTAAGCTGTTGATGCCTTCTGGCAGACGAAGAAGAAGAAGTGATGATCAGAGTTCATGTGTCTAGTGGCAGAAAACGTTTCATACCAGCAGCTCACCACGACACACTGCTGTGTTCAGTGTTGACCAGTTGAGGGACCTCCCTATAGGAAGTGTAGAGGCCGTGTCTACCACTAAACAAAGCGCTGCAGCTCAAATGAAACTAAGTGTGAGTCCTGGTGCTTCAGCAACTACCAACAGCTGGTCTGTAAAAGCAGGCAGGCTCTCTCGCTGTCATCTCTCTGCTAATTCCCAGACCTGCTGATGTGTTAACAAGCTGCTGACAGCCACTCGTCTCACTCACCAATTAAATTCATTACAGCCTCAGTGGCAGCTCTACCTGCGTCTCCAGAGGAGCATCCTGCAGCATCATCATCATCATGTGCCTTCATACGAGACCGTCCAGCTTTGCAGAAACGAGAAAACACACGTCTAAATAATCAGCACAGCTGGTGAAACCTGAACGCACACAGTCTGATTTATTCTGTGCTGCCAAGAACACAGTCCCACCTGGTTCCCAGAGCACAGCCAGGTTCTCCTGTAGCGTCAACAGACACAAACCACTGATCGAGTCCTGAGTCTCCTGTTTCCTCCTGCCTGTAGCTGCTGAAGTCTTTGCACACGTCAGTTATTTGGTGCAGACTGAATCTGTGTTGATGCTTTT